CAATAGAATTCTTTATTAATATTACTTTTTTGTTTTTTTCACTTTAAATTACTAAAAAGAAAGTATATAGTTTATTCATAATATAATGTACATATTTCATCATCTATAGAATTCTTTATTAAAAATTACTGCTCTATTCTTTAAATTATTTAGAATGTAAGTATATTATATATTCATAAAATAATATATACAATTTATCTTCAATAAAATTCTCGATTAAATATTACTTTTTTGTTTTTTCTCTTATATGTTAAAGTTATAAGTATATAGTTTATTCATAAAATAATTTACACATTTCATTGTTAATACATATAAAGTTTGCTCTGTTTTTTAACTTATACATTAAGTCATAAATGCACATGTATACCTATAATTTAATCTATCTATTTTTTAATAACTAAATTCACTAATATTTATTTAGAAATTTTTCTTTAATTTGAGAATTCTTGATGATACAATTGTTTATCATTATTTTCAAATGTTAAAAGTTATTTTGCAACAATATTTATTATATTTATTATAAGATTATTTATTATTCCTATATTGAAATACATCAAGCTTTTAATTCTAATGTTCTATTTATATTAATATATGTACTATTAATGCATATATTGTTCATATAAATACAATATTTATGCTATGCAAATCATTATGAACTAGTTTTTGCAATAAATTGATTAAGATCCAAAACTATAGTACAAAATATTCAATTTGTCTTTTTATTCAAATTGTAATATTTGTACAAAATTTTGTTGTAATAATCCTTTTGGTACATTCTGTATAACAATAATATAATCTTAATAAAAAAAGATTAAAGTAAGAGATTATGACTAATTCTAGTAAAAAATTCCATTAATGAATGATTGTTTTAATCATTTATAATGATTGTAATTCTTTTTTCTCTTTCAACCAAGCCTTGTCTTGGCTTAATACATTGTTTACTATAAATATGCATTCATTTGAGCTTCAATATTTTGTTGCTTTTTTTGAAGTTCTTGTATAAATGTATACATTCCTACATGCTTTATACCAACTAGTGTTATCTAACAATAGTGCCAGGCTTCAACTATATTCTAAGTTCTTGAAATACTAATATTTACAGAATTAAATACTGATTACAGTTGGAGTGAAAAAAAAGAGGCAGTATGAATTATATAATCACTTTCTATATCTAAACAAGCTTTACTAAATATATATATATTTTTATATCAATAAATAAGTTTTTTTGTTTTTTAAGGCATATGTGACTTTAAATATTTATAAGCTTCTTGGATTTCATAAGCTGACAAAAAAGTCAATACAAATAGGCAATGTATTGTAATACTAAAGTTTTTATTATGTCTATATAGAACTATATATATATATATATATATATGTACATTAATAGATAACAATAAAAAAATTTTAGTAAATTAAAATAATGATCATATATATAATTTTAACTTAAATTAAGAAAAGATAATTTACTTACTAATCTGTATTTTTGTATTCTTCACTAACCATTTTAGCTTAGATAAAAAAAACAATATTTATTAACTATATTAGAAAATATATAACATGACATATTGATAGCTGCAGACTCAAAATCTATAATAATTCTTGTTAGAGTTAACTCTACTTTATTTTCTTATGCAAAATTAATTAATATTTCAAATAACAATTTATATTGCTCTGCAGACTTGTTTACTATTAAGGAATAAACAAGAAAAAGTATTCAAGAATTATCTGCAAAACTGATAGAAGCATAAATAGTATATATTTAATAAAAAATTGTAGAAACAGTCTAAAACATCCTATCCATAATTCAATATAATGCATAAGATAATTATTTAATATTTTTAGTTGTAGTAAAAACAACTATTCATTTATTATTACTTGTTTGATCTTTAATTAAAAACAAATTGCTATTTAAAGTAAATCTAAGTAATTCTGGCACATTTAATTTGGTAGTATGTTGTAGTTGAGATAATGACTCTACTTGTCAAACATAATTAATCATTTTATGTAAAGTATTTAATGAAGGAATATATAAACAAAACTTTTCAGATGCATTAATAGTATTTTCTTAAACTATTTTTATAGGTTTATCTCTCATTTTTTTAGCTTGCTTTTTAATTTTGTTTGTAATCTTTGTAATTTCAATTTTTTGTAATTCTAGTGCATGTTTATGTCAAGAATGTTTTAAAAATAATGTTTATTATCACATAATTATATAATTGCTTGACCCTATATATCCATTAAATTTTCTTCTATCACAACACTAGTAATAAGTATTCTTATATTTCTTTCTTTAGTCATGAAAAAAACATGAATATTAATTTTGTCACTTCCTTTTTTTGATTGTACAACTTTACAAATTTCATCAACTTCATAAATTTCATGCATTTCATCTATTACAGAAAAGGTTTTACAATCAAAAAATATATAATTATTTTAGAAAAGGTAATTTTACAATCAAGAAAATAAAGACTTTTATAATTAAGAAGCTATAATTATTTATTATTTTTCATAAACTAATAAATCATTATATTACAATTAAATTAATTCTATCACTCAAATTAATTATAGCTAATCTAATTAACTCTACAGTTTCATTATTTAATTAAGTTACTACATATATATATAAGAAAAAATATTAGATTATATTAAATTAAATTAAAAGATGTCAAGATTATATTTTATATTTTTGTGTTAATTTATATTACACATTATTTAGTCAAGTAAGTACAAAGATTTAATAATTTAGCAAATTCAAAATGAGTTATTTAAGATTAAATATTTATTATTACTGTTACAAAGTTTTAAGAACTGCTATGATATAAGACCTAGGTAGACAAAATTTCTACTCATATTAAATTTTGTTGAAGTTATACTATACAGAAAACAAGGCTATGCTTGTTGAGACTTGTGAATTAAAGTGTCTCAGAGTTGAAAGTTAACAATCAAGTATATTATATATTTTTAAAGAATAGAAAGAAATTGTTAATAAAAGGTTTAGTGAATAAATAAAATATTGAGAAGGGACAATACTTATGCTAGTAAAACAAAAGACAATAAAAGATATAGAATAAAGTAATATTTAATAAAAAATTCTATTAACAATAAAATGTGTACCTTATATTATGAATAAACTATATACTCACAACCTGGTACTTAAACACATTAGAGAGAAAAAACAAGAAAGTAATATTTAATAAAGAATTCTATTGATGATAAAATGCATATACTTATTTTCTAGCAATTTAAAGTAAAAGAACAAAAAGTAATATTTAATAGAGAATTCTATTGATGATAAAATATAAAATACTTATAACCTGATATTTAAACATGTAAGTAGAAAGAACAAGAAAGTAATATTTATAGTAATAGAAAATTTTATTAATAATAAAATGCATACATTATATTATGAATAAACTATGCACTTACTTTCTAGTAATTTAAAGTGAAAAAAAACAAAAAAGTAATATTAATAAAGAATTCTATTA